TAACAAAGTTGCAAAGTTTAGGGACCAAAGTTGCAAATCGTGGATCTCTTCTTCTTTTGCAGCGGCCGACCTAAAGTTCTTTTATAAATAGACTTCTTGTTTTGTTTTTGAGGCAGCCGTGCGCAGTAGGGGTGTTCACGGTCCAATTTGGTCCGGATTTGGATAAAATCGTGATCAAACCGTTAGTAAACGGTTTTAAAAATTCAAAACCGAAACCAAACCAATAACATATTCAAGCCAGACCAATCCAAACCGGATGGAACGGTTTGGTTTGAGCGGTGTAACGATTTAAGCCTAAATTTAGGCCTCTGATACTTTTTGGCAATTAGGCCCACAACTGGACTTTTTTTGGATGCTCTTTGGACTAATCTTGGGAGCTATTTGGGTCACAATTAGCCCTTTCTTAGAAAAAAAAAATGAAAAACATGTACAAATGAGTGGGAGGGCTTCGAACCTGTACCATTCCCATCACATTACTTATGCATAACCAGTTGTGCCACTTAACAATTTGTCAAAAGTTACAGTCTGTAAAATATATGTATGAAAAACAAAAAAGTTATATACACGGTCCGGTCCAAATTGGGCACCGGTTTAAATATTCCAAACCGAGACTGAACCGAATTTTTTTGGTTTATAACTTTTGAAACCGCCGAATTAAAATGACAAATGAAAACCACCTATGAAACTGAACCGTCGGCCGGTTTGGGCGGATTGACCGGATTAAACCAAACCATGAAAACCCCTAGTGCGTAGGCTAAGAGCTAGCGCCTCCTACTTTTGAGTTTTGTTTTCTATTGCTATCTATTGGTTGAATGTTACGTAATAGACACGAACCAATGGTACTAAGTAATAATTAGGCTATGTATGTGTATTAGTAAGACATAGGATGCACATACTAGTTTAAAAGTGGAATTAACAAGTTAAAACTAATTAATTGTAGCTATCTTTGTTAATTAGTGTTGGTTCAACTAGTTCTTGTGTGTAGTGCGGTTGTGGTTAGACATGGAACGTTATTGTGCCTAGTTTATCATATCAAGATTTGATTGAATGCTGGGTTTGGTCAAAGTTTTTAGAGAGGTCTGAATTTATTATGGCTATCGTAATAAATTGGGGGGTTGAATACTTGAATGTAAGAATGCCTTTTTGACCTATGATCAGTGAAAAAATTGAGTTGTATATCCCTTGGATCAGTAGTTTGTTACTTGGATTTCTTTTCTTTTTTTTATTTTCTATTATTGAGTTTTCCATTATCCTAGATTTAGAAAAACAACCAATATCCATCTTTGCATTAGTTTAAAGGAAGCAATCTATTGTTCCATGAGGAGACGACCTTACTTCTCTATACTACTGTAGTTTGAAGCAGGTTATTTTATTTGTGTGGTTTGATACCCATCAGTCATTGTGCAAAAGATTATCGAGCAACCTATTTGTTGCACAATTTTTTCCAAAGTCCGGATGAAAAGGAAAATCTTCCGTTATTTGCTAATCTGGTAACAAATGAAGATAAGAAATGCGTCTCTTGAATATAGTGATCACTTAATACGTGATGCTTGATATTTAATAATGACGTCTATATAAAATCCCTGAAGGATTAAAAAAGGGACATGATTCCCAATTCTGGAGAAATTGGTTCAAAAGACTTGCACAAGTTATAATGTTGTCATGTGTCTAGATATTTAGGTTCATATTTTTGAATATAATAGATATGTTGTGTTTGTTTTTATCTAGATATGTTATGTTTGTTTGTAACATGATTTTATATATGTTTTTATGATCATATTTGAATGATAGGATGATAACTAATACTAGAGTGAATATTCATAAGTCATATGTGCATTTAGAATTTTGTTAGCACCAAACTCTTGTAGAGTTTCAAAAGGTTGAATATTATTGAAAATTATCACGAAGTTTGAATAACCTGAATATAAATAAAATTCCTGAATATTTATACCATAGTTATGAACACTTCTAAGGGAGTTCAAAAGGTTGCTACTTGCCTGAAGTAAGGATAATGAAAGATATTAAGTAGAATCTCGGTCTAAATAGTTTGATCTTTGTATATTCAGCATCCGTTGAGCGCATTTGATTAAAATCTTGATATGCATATAGATCCTTCTTCTTGACTTTCTATTAATGATGTAGACCGATTTGGTCCTGAAGTACCATATAAAGGTTCGGTTTATCTAATCAATTAGTCAAGACTTGGATGTTGTATATTGATACCTTCAAGGTATGATGGTCATGCATTTCCATTATTACCAAACACTCAAGATTATACATGTATATGAAGATAACCGTCTACATGAGAAGTCGAAGTAATCTGTCTATTATTGACTTAAACAATCATGAACCTAGTAAGTAGCTTACCATACAACGAGAAGATTACAAGGGGCATACTTAACAGGGGGAGTAACCCACGCTGTACTCTTTCTCCCTTTATCGAGATTTTGTCTCAATGGATTTTTCTGACAAGGTTTTTAATGAGGCAGCGTCACATTTGGAAGTGTACTCTTTTTCCTTCATTAGAGATTTATCCCGAAGCTTTTTTCCTAGTAAGGTTTTAACGAGGTATTATTCCGCAAAAATGGACATTCAAAGTGGGAGTGTTATAAAATATTTGATTTGATTTGATTGAATGTGCACAATTAATATGTATTATTCTATTCACAATTAATGAGACATGATTCTGTAATATTTAGCATTAATGAAGGGTGATTCATTTCCCACAGTTCGATCCCCTACTTCTTGTAGATAAATAAGGAGCTCATTCATACTTCAAAATACATCTCAATATAAGTCTCTCATCTCTCTCTACTCTCTTGTTTTCTCTCTTTTGTTCTTATGCTTAGTTTCACAGTAGTAGTTTACCATTAATTTTATAACATAACTAAATATTTCTTTCAGTCCTAATTAGTATAAAATAACTTTGAACTAGTGTTAACCGGTGCCTTACGATTACGACCAAAGGGAGTAGTAAATTTGGGATGGAAGGGGTATTAGTTTATTGTTGATTTATGCAAGTATTACTCTTGAAGGCTCAAATATAGGTCTACATGTAGTTGCACCTTAAAACCAATTAGTGATAAGGGGAGTAGTACATGTGGTTATATATTGGTTTCAAGAGTCTACATCTATCAATGTGCGACAAGGTTATATATTCTCAATACCTCCTCTCAAGCCCAAAGGAGTTGGACAAACTGATAAACTGTCGGATCAGTAAAAGTACAGATATAACTGGGTAAGAAAAAGTAGAAATAGAAAGCATAGATTTTTATGTAAGTAGAAGAAGTAGAAATAGAAGACTCAGATTTAGGTAAGTAAAAGTAGAAGACCCAAACGAGGAAATAAATCAGAGCCCAGAAATAACTGCAGGGTCAGTTAAAGCCCGTCCCACAAGTCACACAGGTTCGCGGACAAAATCCGCTCTTATATCATATTGAAGGCCCAAATATAGGTCCACATATAGTTCCATTTTAAAACAAATTGATGATAAAGAAAGTAGTACATGTAGTTATGTATTGGTTTCAAAAGTCTATATCTATTAATGTCGGACAAGGTTATATTCTCAACAATTACTATATTACAAAAGTTTAAACAGTAAAACAACAGGGAAATGTGCATAAGTCTTATCTGTCATCTTTTACGATCTGAGCAAAGTGTATTTGTTAATGACCCAGTCAAGAGAAAAATGTTGCTATCACTTTTTGTTTTTCAAGTTGCAGCATTTCAAAATCGAAGACCTGTTCAAGTTGACAATAATTATTTTTTATCTACCACGTATTTAATTACAAGCTCCCACGGTCAAGTAATGCAGTTTTAGAGGTCCACAACATCAAATCAACCGAGATGGTGTTTCAAACGATCAAGTTATAGTGGAATTAGCATTATTAAAGGTTAATGTTTTATTTTAGATTCTCGAAGTTTATGAATTAGTACTAATAAAACTTATAATTTCACCAAAATCCAGCTACAGTGATGGAATATAAAGCCTCACAAATTTATTAAACTACTAGCAATAATGACAAAAGTAGTGGCAAAAGACTTGGTTGGTGCAGCTCTAATTGACACTTACAGATAGCTTGTTTGGCTCATTGGCTGGTCTGACCTTAAACATAGCTGGTCATTCGAAACTTTTTTTTTTTTTTAGTACAAATTGAAAATATAACAGTACCTTTTTCGTAACAACTTCAGTTCAAGAACTAATGTAAACTGTCCAGAATTTGGACTTTGGAGTGTTCGCAAACAAACAATCTAACGCCATACTCACTCAATTTATATACAGCTTAAGAAATAGGAAATACTCTCTTTGGTCCTTAATATAAGACATTTTAATTTGTCTTATGTTTCATCAAGTACATACTTTTAATTGACGAAAATATTTTAAAAATATTTCATAGAGAACACGACAAGTGAGAAAATATGTTTTTAAGATTTTTTTGTTAATTAAAAATACGTATTAAGTAAAATTTAGAACAAATCAAAATACTTTATATCAAGATTCGGAGAGAGTAGTTATCATCAAAAGAAATGGTTACCATTAATACGTGGATAGAAGTTGGACAACAATTATATTGGAATCAAAAAGGGAAAAATTTATTAATTTTATTAAAATGATACTTATTTCAAAACGGAATGAGTAACGAACAATATACACGGAGACACAATTTAAAAAATGTAAACTAAGCTTGGAACCCTGAATTCTAAAACTCTTTCGTAACTCAACCGAAAATGATTCTGATATATGGAATACTCCCTGCTCAGACCACTTCAAGCATATAAAAGTTTACAGCCATTAAAGCAAATAGGCTGCTAAGTCTAGTAACAATTAATTGTAGCCATTAAAGAAGTAAAACTGGTGGAGCTCAAGAAAGAAACTGGCCTCCTTGTTGACTGGTCTACACTTTGGATTTCCAACGTGTATTTAGCAGTATAACAATTAACAACGACCTTATATAATTTATATATATACAATTCATTTCCCAATACAAAAACCCGAATATATGATCAAAAAAGTCTCAACTCTCTAACTATCAAACGCCACAAAGTTCAAAGTTAAAAACCAAATTAGTCTCCACCCACCATCCCAAACAATACCTCATTCTCTTCCTTCATTTGGCTGTATTTGCTGTCTCTGTGTACTCTGGAATTCACTCAATTCTTTTGAAACTTTGTTTTGAGCCTCTAATTGGATTTTCTTAACCTGTGAAAGCCTAAAAAAGGCCCCCTGTTTTGTTCTACTGATCAAAGCCTCAAAAGGGTCCAAACCACCATCCATGGCAGATTTTAACAGATCAAAGTCGTATTCTTATTCTTATTCCAGTGATAGAATGCAAATCGAGACTTATCGTGGCCCGGATGCAGCAAGGTCCTATTCCTCTGCTTATCCGAATGATTTCAGGTCTTACAGTGTTTCATACAGTACTTCTTATGATGCACCACCCCTGCCGGAGCTGCCTCCTCCGCCGGGGCCGCCTCAGCCGGTGAAGGACTGGAAGCTGAAGAAAGGGAAAAGTACTAATGGGTCAACCTCTACAGCTTGGAGTTTTAATGATCCAGAGTTCCAGAGGAAGAGAAGGGTTGCCAGCTACAAAGTCTACTCTGTTGAAGGCAAAGTCAAAGGGTCTTTTAGGAGGAGCTTTAGGTGGCTTAAGAACAAATATACACAGGTTGTGTATGGATGGTGGTGAATTACATAATTTTTTTTTTTTTTGTTGTTATTATTGGAATTAGGATTCTTTTCCACTGATTTGTGCTTTGTCAACTGTGGTATGAAGTATGAACACAAGCTTCATTGTGTTATATGATTATCATCTAGTATAATCTTGTTCTGCAACATTCTCTTTTGTTGAAGATCTTCCTTCTTTAATGTAACAACTTGATGATTGATTATGGTTCTGTCAATATAACTATCATCTATCTGTCTCATGCTTGAGTAAATTGGATATGTCTGTTCAGATTGCTTGAGTAATTTGCTTCAAAAAAGCCTTCTTTTTTTTCTTTTTTTTTTTTAAACTTTTACGGTTGAAAATTCAGAACCAAAAAAAAAAAAAACTTCCCTTTGAAACGTAATAGCAAATTTGGTTGAAATGCTGGAAAATTGTCATTTCTTCCCAGCAGAAAAGAAATTGAACAGTATGTGGTTCTCTTTAATTGATTGGAAATAGTGGTGTAGAGCATGGAGTGGTCCTAATGTAATAATGTAAGTTGTGACAATGAGGCCCTTTGGACTTTTGATCAATTTGTTTTTGCCTTTTTCGGCCGTCTTTAAGGATTTGGTATCTTAAACTAACATAGCATGTGAGGAGAGATAATACACTATATACAGGATGGGATTGATTATCATCATTGAAACGCGGTTCTTGGCTTTCTCTATTCTGATTAGCTTCAAGTTCTTTGTGATTTAACTCTTGACATGGACAAATAGGTTCTTTTGGTTGGATTTTACTAGTATCTCTGTCTCAATTGTGGTTATTTATTTTTTTTTCCTTCTATTCTTTTTTTTTTTATGGATTGGATTTTACTAGTTAGTATCTCTGTCTCAAAAATACTAATTCCATGTTTAAGCTTAGAGGTTCCATATTGTATTTGATATAAATTAAATATTCAATTCAAGTTGTCGTGCTATGACTGTGTTCTGTATTTTATAGATTCAAGAGAAGATGTTATCTAATTGCAATAAAATTAAAAATTGAATGTAAACTGAGTTATGATTATCAAAAATTGACATCCTTGACTACAGTTGTATTTTTTAAATTTTTTTTTATCATACCTTAATTCAGTCTAGTAAGTGTTTGGTAACATATTTACCTTCGCAAGCTATGTTTTAGATCAGCTGAACCAATGTCCAACTAACTTGCTATTCTCCATCCCATTCTGCAAACATGCAGAAAAGTTTACAAAAATTTTATAACAACTGCAAAGTAATGAAATGTAATTTGTTTGGTTTGTTTTTTTTTTTTTTTGTTGGTTCTTTCATAATAATTTAATATCCCATCCTAAGATACTTTTATATATATATATATTTAATACACTTTTTTACATTTTTAATAAAAAAACACCTAAAAACACACACTGAGAACAAGCGATCCGAACATAACTGCGCGAGATTTAAACTTCAACCTTGAAACAACGCATATATCATAAGCCACAAACTCAGGTCTCCTGCCTCTTCTTCTTCTTTCAATCAATTTTACACACCTTGTATTAGAAGAGAGGTCAATTGTCAGGATTATGAACTACTGAAAGACAGCAGCTGAATGCCTGAATTGGTTTCTCCATTTTCGCACTCGATTAAAGGTGTAGACTTTTGCCTCAGGTGAAGTGCAACATTAGCACTAATCGTTGGGTGATCGTAGGTAAACTTAAAGTTATATTTGTCTCGGACAAATTTCAAGGGTACACGCTAGACATTGTTAAGAAACATTATAAACACATTGTGGGGAATATTCCCACATTGTTTACCAAGTCAAATCTAAAGTCGTGTCTGACGTGAGATCTTACATAATATGCTTACCGGAGAGGGACATGTTCGAAGAAGTCAGATATGGAAAAATTAGAATTTGTTGTTCTCACCAGTTCGGGAATACAAAAAAAAAAAAAAAAAATGAAGAAAAAGAAAATGTTATCATCCATGAATCTTTCTCGATCGGCAATATTTTTCTTTTTTTTATTGTCTTTCATTTTAGTCAACTGAAAAACACCACGATACAGCATAGAAGAGGATAGAAAAATACTTATGTTTGGTTCAACTTTTGTGATTTACAATTCAGTTTGCATGAATTTAATAATCCATCAGAATGACAACACTGGATCTTATCCAACTAGTGATCATAATAAAGCAGGGCTAAGTATAGTATAGTAACTCTAATGCTACATTCTTAATGTATCATCCATGATCTATATATCTCTCGGTTGATAATGTTTCATTTTGCTTCTTCGTTCCATCTGTTTTTTTCACCGTCTTTCATTTTAGTCGTCTAAAATCCTAAATGAGGATCGACCTAGAGTATCGAACTGCAGTATAACCGGATTTTTTTGGATAATTAGAAGAGGATCAAAATAACTAATAATCATTAAACACCAATTAAGGCATCGAAGGGGACCCCAAAATGGATGGAAGTTGTTAAGGCTTTGTTTGGTCGTCCACTCACTTTTCATTTTCAACTTAATTTACCTCTTAAACACAAAACCTAATGTAAAATAAACAATTGTCCAAACAACTTTCTAATTTACATTTTAAAATCAAACTTGAAACATTTTGTTAGTGTAATAACTATTTTTTGAACTAAAAATAGTTCAATGGCTAAATTCAAAACTTTGCACATTTATTTCAGTTTGCCTCTAGTCAAAACACCGAGGCCCAATTCATGTTGGTTAGAAAAAGATTTTTTGGAATATGTATTGAAATATCAAGTACGACAAATATCACTAAACAATCGAAAAATGTCAATTTTAGTCACTGTAAAACAAGAATTTCAAAAATGATCACTAAACAAAGAAAAAGTGTCGATTTTGGTCACTGTAAAATATTAATTTTAGAAGTTATTCCGTGATTTTAGTGATCATTTTACAGTGACCAAAATCGACACTTTTTAGTTGTTTAGTGATCATTTTTGAAAATTTTTTTTGGTGAAAAGATAAATATATATACAAAATCACCAAATCAGTGAAAGCATCATACACAAAGTCTCTCCCTACTACTTGCTACCAAAATTAAAAAGTCTATTAAGAGACTCAGAGCAACACTCATCTGCTTCTACCAACTTAACTAGTACAAAACTGAAAAGAAATGACTATACATAAGTAAAGAGTTTCTCCAATATCAACTCAATGCCAGCTGACCTCTTCTGACCATTTCCTTCTAAATCTGTAATGTAGTTCCTGCTGTATCAGTTTCAAAATTCCTCAGGCCTCCTCTCTTGCCCTACAAACAGCAGCTTGTTTCTTTCTTCCCACAAATGATACATCCCAACTGCAAACATAGCTAGCAAGACCTTTCTCTTGAACTTTTGACCCTTCCACAAGTGCAAGGTTTGTACCTTCCATCTGATATCATTTGGATCAATCCTTCTGCACCCTAGCCACCTCCTTACTAGTTCCAGCACCTGCACTGAGAACCAACACTGAAAAAACAGGTACCCCACTGATTCTTTTTTTCTTATAGTGACTAAAATTAATACTTTTCGATTGTTTAGTGATATTTTTTCGTTTTACATATTCCAAATAACCTTTTCCTAACCACCATCCAAACAACTTTTTGCTAAAGATACCATTTAAACAATTTTTTCATCTCCCATTATATTTTTCATTTAAAACAGTTTCTACATTCAAATCGAAAATGAGAACGAAACTGACATCCAAACAAGCACTAAATAATTATTTCTTCATTGCTACATAATCTTAAGTGAATGTTGAGATCTAACCCTCGTACACGAGACCATGGATGCGATCAACTTACCAGAAAAGCGAGGATAATCATGACGTGAAAGAACATCTTACAATATAGATCCAATACAACATCGGAATCATAACCGCCTACAACAACCGCCACCAAGTGGCGGTGGTGAAACAAGGGGAAGACGCACGGGACGAAGCCGACCACCCAACTCCGTAGAGTGAACCTGTGAAAGGACATTGCCCATCCTCAAACCGGAGTTATTTTCTAGGCGGCCACCCTCTCAGCCTGATGGGACCCAGTCAAGTAAGACTAGGGTCAACTCTTATTATGACTCGGGTCGCCCAAATACGAAGCGGATCTGAGTTTGATCATCCACTCGATATAACGGGCCCCGCGATTATCGTTTATGGGAACAAAGGGAAAAGCGTCCTCCTGACTTTGTATGAGCTGCCACCACCACTTCCGGTAAAGAAGACAGAGGTAGCAGATCGGAGAAACTAGACACGCCGGAGAAGAACAGCTAATCGGACAAAAAGGGACTTTGACCTTTTCGTCACCTGTTCCTTAGCTGATCTAGGCCCTTGATCTAAATACCAATTCCACCTATAAATATGTTACTATGGTTTCCAAAGTTAGGGTTGTGCTATTACTATTTCTCTTAGCCGTTACTCTCATATATCTTCTGACTTAATCATCGGAGCGTTTGCCTGGGGCTCGACCCGGGATACACGCTAACGATTTCTGTTTTGCAGGAAGAGTTAAGGAATAGTTGATAATCGGTGGTGGATAATTTGACCTCCATCACAGCCCGTATATGAATAAACTGTAGCTAGGAACTGAAGGGAGCTTGGAATTTGGAAGTTGGAACAAATCCAGATCCATATGCCAAAAGTGATGAATACCCATTCAAAGTAAAAACCACCCGACTGATCCATATTATACCTTCTAATCTAGTTGGATTTCCTTTACACTCTCACTACGCAAACCAAGACAGCAAAAAGAAAAAAAAAAAACACACACTCACACACACACTCTCATCGGAGGCAGAGTGTGGGGAGTGAGTGAAACTGTTGAAGCTTTAGTGAATATTTAGTCTCCTAACTCCTAACTATAGGTAAAAAAAAAAAATTATTATTATTTTCTCACAGAGCAAAAATCTTTTCCAAGAAATACATATGTTTGGCTATTAGCACCCAAAATAAAAATACTAATAGCTTACTGAATTGTTTTCCCTTTCTTGTTATTTTTATTTATTCTGCTGTTTCACAATGATTGTCTACTTCGATTTTTCATTTCTAGTTCAATTCGTTGTAAAAGTGAAAATTCAAATAACAGAGTGAATAGGTATTTTCTTATTCAAAGGATAAAGATTACTTAATATATATGTAGTTGTATTTGGCTAAAATGAAGAATAAAATGAAAAGCAAAACTTTGGACGCATTTGTTATATACTTGATCCGTTTTTTGATATTGCAGGTTGATGTTGTTTACATCGTTTTAGTAGTGATTTTTTTCCCCTTTCATTTCGAGGGTCTCTAGGCCTTCCTTTATTAGATAGCTGTATATATTTTCGATTGTATTCCCTCCGTCCCATAATTATTGTCCAGTTTTACTAAAATGAAAGATTTTATTTTTGGTCAAAGTTAACTATATTTTACCTTAAACAACCTGATATATCCCTACATAAGTAATTGTTTAACCACTAAGATTTTATGGATAATGTTTTTTACTAAGGATAAATGTGTAACTTGATCTATAAAAAGTCAAATTGGACAATAATTTTGGGACAAAATTTTTTGGGCAAAGTGGACAATAATTATGGGACGGAGGAAGTAGTTAGTTTCGTTTAACTATGATTCATGGTAATATACAGTTCAACCTCACATTTCTTGTTTCTGTTACTATTTCTTACGGAGAAACCAGTCATCCACACAGAGAATTTTCTATTCTCCATTTGATCTTTCTATCTTCTAACAACTAATTAATGTAGTACTATTTCATATTCTCTTGCTGGCCTTGGAATACGTACATTTTCAACGTTTAGTTCATGATAGAACTATTGCGTGAGGAAAGGAAGCCGCGAAATTGGTGTGAGATTTAACTAAAAACTAAAGATGATGAACAATAAGGCAGTGTCATGCATGCTGTTGGTATTTTGTTTTTATTTCTTTGACCATTATGTTTCTCATGTGATCATTTTTCCTTCCTGTTACTCTCTCTATTTCAATTCAATAAGTTGACTTCCTTTTTTTAAATATTTCAAAATTTAGTTCCACTTCAGACAATTAATGAAATTTTACTATAAACTCTCTAATATATCCTTTCTATTTTCACTGAAATCA